ATTAAAATCCACCCACCTTAAAGCTTGCTGACTGTGGAATTCTGGGAGTTGGAGTCCACCACTCTTAAAGCATGCTAGCTATGGAATACCAGATGTTGATGTCCACCCCCTCTTAAAATTGTTGAGGTTGAGAAATGCTGGCCCGGAGCACCCAGTCCTCCTGCGCTCCTTTCTTCGGAATTATCCTTCCCACAGCCTGAAAATGTTCTCTCACCAACAGTGGAGGTCAGCCTTGTGCTTCCGTTGACAAGAAGGAAGGCAAAATTCCTGTCATAGGAGCCCTGATTTCAAATAGCCAGCTGTTGTTCCTGGGACGAGAACTTCTTCTGGTGTTTTTTTCCCTTCTTGAGGGGTTGGTGGGGAAGGAGGAGGAAGTGGACGAGGAGGAGGAGAGGTTGCATTGAATTTCCGAAGCTGCTTCGTGGACAAATTTTGTAAAATGGTTTACAGCAATGGGTTCCATCTCTACATGCCAACTGACCCATCACAGGTTTTAGAAGAACATCCGTATGGATAGCGAAGGAAGCTGTATGGGAGAACCCACAATTTTAGTTGCTAAATAACAACCGTGTGTCTTTTAAATAAAAGACCAGTGGGGTAGATTTCATGAAGATCCATGCTGGCTGGGGAATTCTGGGAGCTGAAATCCACACACCGTGAGTTTACTAAAGTTGAAGAACAGTGCTGTATACTGTGGTCATATTTCCCCTCCTACACAAACAGACGCGGGGGAAAGAGACAGACAGAGAGACAGAGAAAGATGGAGTGAAAAATGGAGAGAGAAAGAGAGATGGAGAAGGGGAGAGATGGGGAGAGAGAGACAGAAATGGAGAGAGAGATGGAGACAGAAATGGAAAAAGAGAGATGGGGAGAGAAAGAGAGGGACAGAGAGATGGAGAGAGAGAGATGGAAATAGAAAGAGAGATGGAGAGAGAGACAGCAATGGAGAGGGATAGAGAGATAGAGAATGAGAGAGACACAGATGGAGAGATGGAGGGACAGAAATGGAGACAGAAAAATAGAGAGAGAAGATGGAGACAGCAATGGAGAAAGAGAGACAAAGAGAGGGACAGAGAGATGAAGAGAGAGATGGAAAGAGAGGGAGTGAGTAAAGGACAAAAAAGAGTGAAAGAGACGGAGAGAAACGGATCAAGAGAAACAGACGGTGAACAGAGAGAAGGACTTGCATTTAGTGCTGGAGGAAAAAAACAATTTCCTGTGGGGACTTAAACATACAAATGTTAATTTTTTCACCAACACCACAGGAACAGGTGGACGTTCTCTGTCCTCCTTGTGTGCAAATGTTACTCTCTCCTAACTTAAAAAAAAAATGTAGGCTGAATTAAAAATTAACTCCGAAGCCTACATGTCGGAGCCGATAAGCTCACCATGCCAATGTCGGTTCCAAAGTCTGTGTTGTGCCTGTCTAAAGCTTACCAAGGATGGGACGAGAGGAAGAAAATACTAGAAGGGCCATTAAGGGATTAGATATCCTGACATTCTTGGAAGAAAAAGAGGAATGTTATCCTGTTAAATCAGTTCTTGGGAGCGTGACAAGATTCAGCAAAATACTTCAGGAAGGCATTTGATAAAGTAGATCCCAACCTATTTCTTGGCAAGATAGGAGAATGTGGGATATTCCAGCAACCAATTTGCCACAGGTAGTCCTCGACTTACAACCGTTCATTTAGCGACTGTTCAAAGTTAGCTTATGTAACAAACGGGGCAAAATCAGTCCTAAAATGGGGGAAAGCTCACTTAACAGATGCCTCACTTTTAACGCTGCGTTTTGATCGATGCTTTTATTTTTATAGTGAGAGGGGCCCCTGAAAGAGTTTTGAGTATGGCTCTCAAAAGTCACCATCTGCAAAGTGTTGGAAATGCCATCAGACACCTGGATCTAATTAGACACCTAATTACTATATGTGGTGGACATATGAGGAAGCTAAAAGATATTGGACTAAAAATACACACATGGTTGGAAAAAAAATGAAAAATACAGCACCTAGATTTAAAACCAGAGACATTTTTATTGGGAATTTTACCTGAAGGTTACAGTAGAGAAGTGACATACTTGATTATTAATGTATTAACTGCAGCTAGAATTGCATTGGCTTAAAATCGGAAAAATGAGAAAACTCCGATGGAGGAGGAGGTGATTAAGAAAATAATGGGATGTGTAGAAATGAGCAGATTAACATTAGCAATTAGAGAGCAAGAAGAAAAAAAGACTATTATAAGATATGGGGTTTATTCTATCCATGGTTAAATAGAATAGTAGGAAATGGAAGTATATTATAGTAATTACGATATGTTATAACTGATTATCTTTAAATAAAATATAATATGAATAACAATTAGTAAGAATTGAGATGTGCTCTAAAGGATAATATGGAACTGAAATTAAAGTCTAATGGTTGTATAGTAATAATATAATATGATATGGAAAGTTAATTAATGCAATGTAAATGTAAAAGACTATAGATATTGTGCACAGGATATATGTACCAACCAACACATTGTATAACTGAAAGAAGGTTTTATTTGTTGTTTTATGTTTGTTGTTAAAAATAAAAAAACTTTTTATTTTATTTTTTTAAAAGTCACCATCTGGCTCCAGGGTTGCCAACACAGCTTCGGATGTCTGTGGCAGGGGTGTCAAACTCGCCGCTGCACAGGCTGGATGTGTCATGCGCTGCCCATGTTCACCCCAGTTTAGCGAGCTGGGGGGGGGAAGGTCGCAATAACGACAATGTGACGATGCGAGTTTGACACCCCTGGTCTATGGAGGTCCTCAGTCATCCAGGTCCTGGTTGTCCCAAAGTTGCTTTTTTTGCAAGAGGCAACTGGGAATAGTTGGCACAGCTTCACCCCCTGTTCTGACCCAACCGGGTCCCCAAAGAACAGACACAGACAAAGGCAGCAGCCCCCGCCTTTTAAGGTTTAATATCAAATTCTGTTCTGAAGGCTGCTTTCCACTAATTAGCTCCAACAAGAAAGAGCCGTGCCAAGTATGTTTGTCGAGGCTGCCAAAAACCCAGAGATAAGAACTAATTTACAAAACTCTCCAAACACAAACTAAGATGTCCACCCGTTGAGTTTCAGAGCTTCTTTGCTGTCTGCAAAGGACGCTTTTCCAAACCTGGCTTTTATCCTCTTTAGGGAGGGGCCATTGCCTTGCAGCCTTACTCCCGAGTCGCCTGTGCTGCTGTAATTGTTCTTTCCTCCGAACAATCCTCCGTGCACGCGCACTTGGCACAGGCTCCTCGGGAAGCTCCTCATTGCTGCTGCCAGTCCTCACAATCTCTGAAGGCAGCAGTCCACTCCCGGATGGTCCCGGCCCTTCATCAGAGTTCCCGCTCTCCTCAGCCATCTGCACCTGCTGCCAGCTAACCACAATACCCCGACAGGTTCAGAAAGCCCCTTAGCCCCACTCACAACTCAGTCTTGGCCCTATAGAGATGTGACAAAAGTTGGCTCCAACAATTCAGCAGAAAGCAGCCGTTTCAAGTGCGGCAAGTTGTACAGGCTATCCAGGAGACTGGTAGGGCCGCCACCGGAGGTTTTTAAGAAAAGACTGCACAGCCACTTGTCTGGAATGGTTTGGGATCTTCTGCTTGAGAAGGGGGTTGGACTAGAAGACCTCCAAGGTCCCTTCCGACTCAGAATAGATTGAATGGATTGGTTGAAAAGGTATTGGTTGGCAGAGCACTAAAAAGATTCTAAACTAAACTAACTAGCTAACTAACCAAGGAGAGAAGCAACTTGGAACTGAGGAGAAACTTCCTATCGGTGAGAACAATTAACCAGGGGAACAGATTGCCGCCAGATGTTGTGGGAACTTCCATCACTGGAGGCTTTCAAGAAGAGATTGGACAACCATTTGTCTGAAATGGTCTAGGGATGATGATGGCAAATCTATGGTGCTTAGAGCCCTCGCCAGCTGCTCTTCTGGTTTATGGCCTGCACATGTGCACCGGTCAACTGGTCTTTGCGGGTGCCGGAGAACTGGAAAATGCCCCCCAAATGGTCCATTTTTCAAGACATTTTCTGGGTCGTTTTTGAGCCATTTTAGGCCATTTCCTGGCTATTTTCCAGGCCATTTTAGGCTGTTTTTCGAGCTGAAAAATGGTCCAAAATGCCCTGAAAATGCCCCCCACAAACAGCCTGAAAATGGCCAAAAATGGCCAAAAAACAGGCTGTTTTCCGGGCCATTTTCAATCCATGGGCCACTTTAGGCCATTTTTAGACCGTTTAAGACTGTTTTTCAGGCTGAAAAATGGCCCCCAAAGGGCCTGAAAATGGCCCCCAAAAGCAGGCTGTTTTTCGGGCGATTTTTCAGGCCCAAAACACTAGAAAATGGCCCAGGAAATGGCCTGAAAACAGTGCCAAAAATTCCCCCCCAAACAGGCACGTGCACACTGGCCAGCTGGTCTTTGGGTTTCCGGCACTCCGGCACCCACACATGCATGACCACGGATGCGCATTCCAATGTGGGCACTCGGTGCCAAAAAGGTTCGCCGTCACGGGCTTAGGGTCTCCTGTTTGAGTAGTGACTCTCACGAGAGTAGGCAGCACTGTGTGTCTAGTCTAGTGACACTTCTAAGCGTGCTCCTTTCTCTCCTTTTGTCTTCCAGGAATTTCCCATACTACGACCACCAGGTGGACATGATGCTCTGTGCACGTTTGCCAAGCCTGCCGCCATCTTTCCCGTATATGAACCTTAAGTAAGGAAATCCAAAACTTGCATTGGAAAAACAAAACTGCCCTATATAATGAAGCGCGGTGGTCCCCAACTGTTGGTGAGGGAGGGGGAAGGAAACTGTTAGTGAGGGAGGGGGGGACAGGCACACACACACACATGCACAGCTCCATTTGCACGAGCAGTGGGCATTTGCACACACACATGGAGCTGAGCAAGAAACAATGAATGGAAATTAATCAAGGGAAGAAGCAACCTGGAATTAAGGAGAAACTTACTAATAGTCAGGACAGTTAACCAGTGGAACAGATCGCCCCCAGAAGTGGTGAATGCTCCAGCACTGGAAGTTTTTAATTAGATTTGTCTGAAGTGGTGTACGGTTTTCCGCCTAGGCAGGGGGTTAGACTAGAAGACCTCCAAGGTCCCTTTCCAATGCTATTCTGTTATTTAATGGATGGAAGCTTCTCGGGGGGATCTTCAACCTAGAATTAAGGAGAAACATCCTGACAGTGAGAACAGTTAACCAGTGGAGCTACTCGGCCAAAGCCTGATCCGCTTAATGGTGGTGCGCTTCACTTAACAACGGCAGTAACTTGCTCGACCACTGCTGAGGGAAAGAAAAGTAAAAGCAGGCAGGGCTTAATGCCTTGCTTAGCAGTGGAAATTCTGATCACACTTGAGGCCATAAGTCAAGTACTCCCTGTGGGAACAGGTCCCGCGGATGAGGTGGAGGCCCTGTCAAAATCCACTCCGTCTTCTGGATTTGACCGGCTTCTGAAAAGTTCCAACTTCAACACACCTGGTCTAAGTTTCCAACCCTCAAAATATGTTAGTGTCTGGGGACAAACCCCCAAGCAGAATGTGCAGCAGCAGTCAGGCCAGGCAGCCAAATGAGAGAGGCTGGGCCCAAGAGTATACACACACTGGAGACAAAAAAACTGTAGTTTTAAATAGTTGTTTAATCAACTCAGAGTTTAAGCATTGTCAATAAGTCCATATGTCATTCACAAATATATCCATCCAGTAACTTAGTCCATTAACTAGTCAGTACTATGTCCTTATCTGCTTGTTGAGATATCTTCTCCTCCCGATACCTTTCTCTCGAAGACAACGCTGAGTATTCACAGGATATCAGCTCACCAAGGAAATAGTCCTTTTGTTCAGCAGAAACGGTATCCAGCACAGTAGCCAACAAGCAGTAACAAGCAGACGTCTCAAACAGGAGTAAGCAGCAGGCAGCAGAGAGCAGAGAGAGAGTTACGTTTCTCTTACTGCCTTTTATTGCAGTTTGTAACCGCACCCTTAATTATCTAATTACATTGCAGTTTGGTGCTTAAAGCTACAAACACTTAAACCTTGGTTTATATATTTATTCACCCAAACCTATTTGGTGTATCCATATACCCAACAAAATACTTTAATGGCTTTCTCCTGCTGCTGGGTAGTTATGGCTCTTATAGAATAGAATAGAATAGAATAGAATAGAATAGAATAGAAT